AATCAATACATTTTTTTTTTAAATACAGTCTTTTGTATCAAATACTCGGCCTATTCCAGTGGCGGATCCAGGAATCTTGAAAAGGGGGGGGGGCAGTTTGGGGTTGGGGTAGGTGCCCACGGACACACCAAAAAAATTGATTTATTAAATTTTATGTATATTTTGGACACAAAATCCGCCAGTGTATTCATAGGGCGTTATATAAAAGCTAATTTTTACACAGGTTCTTGGGTCTTGGATTATAAATATGTATGTACCTTATTGATATGTAAAAAAGAGGTAAGGTACAGTTTTTACATATCAATAAGGTACATACGTATTTGTAAACCAAGACCCTTGAGTACCTGTGAATTTTTACCAAACAAAAAAAAAATCTTTTTCTCAGTAAAATGTGCATATTCACTGCTTTTATTCTTGACGGAAATGATATAAGAGCATCTGAAGTACAGTATCCATTACATAGTATATACAATATCCATAACATAGTGTATAACAGGTTTCACAATAAACGTCAATTAATGATATTGTTATTTAAGTTTTACAAGGGGGGGGGGGGGTTGGGGGGGGGGGGGCTTGGAGACGTACTTCTACTTCATGCGGGATTTTGAACGAAGTATTTCTTCCTACTATGAGCCTGTAGGCTGTCAGTAGAAACTACAATATATGTATTATTAGATTTTTTTCTGTCGGTTGTGGTATAAATTCAATTCCCCGCGCTTGCGCGGGATTTCATCTAGTAAACGATATAAAATGCCCAATATTTGACAGATTTTTCCAAAGTTAGATATGGCCACTGTCAGGAACAACTTTTATATTTACCAAATGTGAAGATATTGCCTATACAAATTTCTGTGCTTATTATCGTTGTTCGTGGGTCTGGCCAATATGAAATTTGACTTACATTCAATTTTTGATGCATCAAAGAATCACTTTTTTTTTTTCAATCAATCGGTAGTATCTAGCTCATACCACAATAAAAATTTATAAATTACACCAAATATGCTAGAAAAGCAGTCGATTGTTCATTTGAAACGAAAAATGTGGAAAGGAGTCTAGAATATATATTTTCTGAAATCAAAATCTTAAAACACTTATGGTTTTTACATTGAAAACGTCCCTTATTCGTGATGTTACTAGTAATAGGTCAGTTGTGACGTCATAAAAGCTATGATTATAATTTAAGATGTTGCTAAAAAGATTTCAATGCACTCAAATTATGAAATTGAATTTGAATTTTAAGATTCTATCACCATTTACATGATTGAAATGCTACTGGATGATACTATCATATCATTAATTATCAGAAATTTCCTTAACCATCGCCAATCCCTCCCCCCTCCATCCGCCCTAAAAGCTGAAGTCATCCTGTTTGTCAGTTTTGTTTGTTAGATTGATGAATTTAGTTGTTGGTTGGCCCTTATGGTCTTAGTCAGTAAAACATCCAAATATGAAGAAAATGTGGCAGACCATGTTGTGTCTTTTATTAGAGTTCACTGGGATATATCGAGTCGACATCTGAATTGTAGTAACTACTGTTAATTGATAAAACGTCATCAGTATATCTGAATATTGAGTTGAAGGCCACAGAAAGTGTTTTCTTCTCTTATATTGAAGCTATTATTAATAAATTCTGCTTCATAGAAATATAAAAACAGGTCAGCTAATAAAAGAGCACAATTAGTGTCCATCGCAATTCCTACAGATTTTTGGAAGACCTGGTCTCCAAAGACCTACATAGATGTTGTCATTGCGGAACTCCAGCATCCTTTTGATATCAACTTCGGGGGTATTTTTTGTAGATGACTAAAAAACAAGATGTGAAAATGTCCAGCTCCATTTTTATTGAAGGAGCAGTTGTCCATCATATTAAAAAATTCGTATCATCTAGATACCCTCCTGGAGGGACTTAATTTGTCATTGAGGTTTCATTTCAAATTATAATATATGTATTTAAAGCTTTTGTTCTTTTCACACGCCTTAAAAACCTTATTCGTATGTTAAAAAGAAAGTGTCTAATCCTATGGAAATGAAGGGGTTGATTTTCTTGACCTACTTTGCTTAGTAACATAGATTTTGTTTTTGAAAAAGATTTTGATAAAATTTTCTCAGATGCCCTGAATACAAATGACTTGGAGGAAAGAGAAAGTAAAACACTGAGCATAACTGATTTTGCTGGACAGTCCGCATATTACGCCTGTCATCAAGTTTACCTGTCACGGAGAGCTTTGTATTTGTTAGTTGTGGACATGTCAAAAGATTTAGCTACTGTTCCTTCGACAAATACCGAGGATGAATCGGGATCCTTGTTCGAAGGATGGAGGTTGAAAGGTAATTTTACGTCTGAAACAAATGCCTTAAATTATAGTATATATTTATTTATATTTACATTCCCAAATATTTTTCCTTAAGATTCTTTGCAAATTAGAAGACTGTTCATTTTCTGATGAATTACCATGGATGAGCATGAATATCTCCATTGTTACGTCATAATACCGTACTTGACGTCAAAACTATAGTGCAAACTATTTTACTTTAAAAATGACAGTTGAATGGCGAAATTTGTGGTAACTCATCAGAAAATAATGTAAATATAAGAAATGAATTTAATTTTTGAAGATTCATGAGGTACATGAACTACGACGCTTCACGCCGGCATATTTCATGAAGCGCGTTAAACGCCGGCATATTAATCATGAAGCGCTAACGCGCTTCATGAAATATGCCGTCGTGAAGCGTCGTAGTTCATGTCCTCATGAATCTTCAAAAATTAAATTCATTTCTTAAATGAAGTATATATGCATGCCATTATTTTTTTTTTATAGATTTTTTCTTATTCTGGCTTCAAACTATCAGTACGTATTGTAAGGACTGGATCATTGAAGAAGAATCATCTTCAACCTCGTCAAAAGAGAGGACGCTTCAAAGGATACCTATTCCTGTTCTTATTATTGCCACACATGCTGATCTTGTTCAGGTACGCACTTGTTTTATTTAATCTAGAACTGGTCATATCATCCAAATTTAAATATACCTTATTTCACATTTTTGTATCAAATTCTCCGATTTCTTTGACGTACATATCAGAGGTAGTTGTAATTGATAAATACCCAGAGCGGTAGGATATATGCCTGTTTCACAGACTTTCAAAAGGCATCTTTTTTCCATAGAATATAGTTTGAAACTAAAACTATTGATGCATTAAATCTGTTGATATTATCAATAATATGTACTAGAAAGATTAGACGTGTTAAGTATGTAAATATTGACATAATGTTTTGTTTCGCCCTTGCTGGTATTCTAGAACACAGACGCGCTTGATAAGTCTAGCAGAAATAAATTTTCCAGTTTGGAAGAGACTCGCCAAAGAATTTTATCAAAGAACAATTTTATTTTTTATGTGGTTAGAAGTAAAGATGACTATTTCTTAGATTTTGCAAGATCAGCCATACGCTACCGTATATTATCCTGACCGTTTTGTCGGAATTAACAAGAATTCCATATCATCTACTTGTCATTGCTTATGGAAATGTGGCATAGAGTATAAAAGAGTATTTGTAGTACACGGATGTTAATTAATTTTTACTAAAATTGTTGTAGAGAAGGAAAAATAAGATTCATCTGATATTATTATGCCCCAGTATCGAGGATTCGGGGATAGACAGCTTTTGCCTTGTCCGTCCGTCTGTCTGTCTGTCTGTTTGTCTGCAAAAACTTTAACATTGCCCATAACTTTTGATTGGTTGAAGCTTTCATATTCCATATGTGTATTCCTTGTGACAAGACCTTTCTTTGGGTTCCACCATATTTGACCTTTTGACCATGACCTTTGAGTTTGACCCAGTTTTGCAAAATTTTTCCCAACTTTAACTTTGGCCATAACTTATCGAACCGTTGGTGCTAGGGCTTTCATACTTCACATATATGATTCTTTTGTCAAGACCTTTCTTTGGATACCCACATCTTTGACCTTTTGACCTTGACCTTGGAGTTTGACCTACTTTTGAAAAAAAATTAACTTAAGCCATAACTTATGATCAGTTGGAGCTAGGGATTTCATACTTCACATATGTGATCCTTGTGACAAGAACTTCCTTTGGTTTTGACCACCTTTGACCCTTTGACCTTGCCCTCGGAGTTTATCCTACTTTTGAAAAACTTTTACCTTGGCCATAACTTTTCGAGCCGTTAGTGCTAGGGTTTTCATACTTCACATGTGTAATCCTTGTGACAAGACCTTCCGTTGGATTTGACCAACTTTGACCCTTTGACCTTAGGTTTGACCGACTTTTTAAAAACTTTAATATTGGCCATAACTTTTAAACGGTTAGTGCTAAAGCTTTCATACTTCACATATGTAATCCTTTTGACAAGGCCTTCCTCTGGATACCAACAATGTGCAGTCTCAGTCCCAGACTGGTGCAACTGCGGATTAATGACCTCGAAACCATGTGTAGTCTTGAAGACTTTATTCTGATAATGGCTTCACAAGAGGTAAATGACTGAAAATAAAATTGAAATAGACAATAAATTTCTAGCTTTCTCTACAAATAATATTCACTCATAATTTCACAAAAATGACCTCATCAATTTTGAATACACTATGAAATACAGGCCTAAATTACTTAGAAGAATTTTGACAATAGATGCAAACACTGTATAAACACAAAGACTTGGCTTAAGATCAATGGTAAACAAGAACAAATAATCAGCCCGAATTTCCTCTATCAAAAATGACAACAGATTTAAACACATGGAAAATATCATTGCAAAATATGAAAAAAGTTGTTTAACACATTAGACATATGCACATATTAACACTCACATCGCTGTGGCACCTCACAGGTATCAAAACATCAAAAAACGACAAGGGTTAACACAACCCACATTTGCACCAGCTCCGGCCATGCTGAATCCCAGACGTATATAACAAGACCGGTCTTGGCGGAAACAAGATATTCGGAAAGCGTGACAGCACACTCCCCGCCTGACTAGACTAGTCACTACTCATTAGTCGGAGCGTAGAGAAGGACCACTTCTGTGACTGGTCGAAAATACTCCACTGGGCGTCCTTGCCGGATGACTCTAACTTTCACCTTTCGAACGTTTCCATCTTCGCTTTTGATTGCTTCTTCCACCAACCCTAATGGCCACTCACATCTGTTCATATCTTTGTCTCTTAGCATGACAACATCTCCTTCTCGTAGGTTCTCCTTCTCAGTCTTCCACTTTCTTCTGGATTGCAGATTCTGTAAGTACTCATCTTTCCATCTTTTCCAAAATCTGTCCGCTAAGACCTGCACGTGTTTCCAATTGGATTTGAACATGTCTCGAATGTTCAGGTCCAAGTCTCGAAGAGGTGGTACTTCATCTCCCTCTTTCTGTGTGAGCAATACATTCGGCGAGAGAATCATTGCATTCTCTGGGTCTGACGATACAGGTGCTATTGGGCGAGAATTGATGATCATGGAAACTTCTGCTATAAAGGTGACCAGAACTTCGTGGGTTAGCTCCTTTGCAGAATTCTCCAGTAGTAAGGCATCTATGATCTTTCTGGCCACACCTATCATGCGTTCCCAAACGCCTCCGAAATGTGACGAATGAGGTGGATTAAAAATCCATGTGCTTCCTTCGCTCAGGAGGAACTTCTGAACGGCTGGATCCTCAACGTTTACAGCATCTGTGTTTGAAGATGTAGATCCAACAAAATTGGTTCCTCTGTCTGACCTATACTCCAGTACTTTGCCTCTAATGGAAACAAATCTGCGCGATGCATTTATGAAGGCGGACGTTGACATCTGTTCCACAACTTCGATGTGCACTGCCCGGACTGTGAGACATGTGAACATGATTGCCCATCTTTTACTATTTGCACTTCCACCACGTGTTCTTCTACTGACAACATTCCAATGTCCGAACGTGTCAACTCCAACGTAGGTAAATGGTGGAACTGGTTGTAGGCAACAAGAAGGAAGATTGGCCATGATTTGTGTCTGTAACTGTCCTCTGAGTTTCCTGCAGGTAACACACTGGTGTAAAATGGAAGATACCAATCTTCTAGCACCTATGATCCAAAACCCCGCAGTGCGCAATGCTCCTGCTGTAATGTGCCGCCCCTGATGATGTACCTTTTCATGGTAATGCCTAACCAGCAATACTGCAACATGTGAGCTCTTAGAAACAATGACTGGATGTTCCATGTTTCTTCCAAGGTTAGCGTTCTTTAGCCGTCCGCCTACTCTAAGTACTCCTTCTTCATCAATATATGGGTAGAGTGAAGACAATGGACTGTCATTAGGTACTGCTTTACCACTAGTCAGACTCTGGATCTCTTTTCCGAAGACAGCTTTCTGGACAATCTTTAGGATCAGCAGTTCCGTGGCACTAAACTCCTTCGCAGTTGTGTGACTTATATGAAATGTTTTCTCAAGTGCCGCTTTTCTAAGCCTGCTCATACCAAGAACAAGCCTTTCCCATGAGGAAAATTTACAGAACCTTTTCTCCCAAGAGGATGGGCTATAGGAAGAATTTTCTGTTTCTTCTACTTTCATTGCTGTAATCAAAGGTCTGACTTCCACATCATCATCAGGTTTGACCATTTGAAAGCTTTCATCTATGTCCTGCTTGTAAAAGGAAACTTGAAAAGGAGGTTTCCACCATTGACAGTCTTTTAGATTCTTGGCCAGAACTCCTCTAGTCCCTACATCTGCTGGGTTTTGCTCTGAGGGAATATAATTCCATTGCTCTGCTCTAGAAACACGCAGTATCCTGTCTACTCTGTTACTCACATATGTATAAAACCCTCTTGTTCTGTTGTACAAATATCCCAAGACAACCTTGCTGTCAGAGTAGAAGTATGTAGCGTCAACTGGGACATTTAGTTGTCTGGTTACAGCAGTAGCAATTTCGGATGCTAATACAGCAGAGCAAAGCTCCAGTCTAGGTATCGTATGTCCGTGTTTGGGTGAAAGTTTGGATTTTCCAAATACAAAGCCCAACTCATGTTCATCATCTGTCCTAAATACTTTTAGATACGCTACTGCTGCCACAGCTTGTTCTGAGGCATCTGAGTACACATGGAGCTCTGTCCTGGTGGCCTCACTGGTAGGAATGGAAGTAAACATTCTAGGAATCTGGAGGAAGGATAAATCACCTGCACTATTCTTCTATTCTGTCCATCGTCTCTCTAATTCCCATGGTAAAGGATCATCCCAATCACAAGACAGGTCCATCAGTTCCCTGAAAATCATGCGGCCCAAAAGAATAAATGGAGCGACAAAGCCAAGAGGGTCAAATACACTGTGGAGTGTAGACAAGACACCTCTCTTAGTACAGGGTTTCTCTTCAAACTTCACTTGGAATGTAAAGTAATCATTTTGCAAGCTCCAATGTAGACCCAAGCTTCTTTGTAATGGAACACCATCCATAACACTTAAGTCCATATTCTCTAGATCTGATGATCTCTCTTCTGGTGCGAATGCATTGACAACATCCATATTATTGGAAGCAATTTTATGGAGACGTAAATTTCCACCAGTCAATAGGGCAGCTTGTGTCTTCTTCATCACTTCAATAGCCTTCTCAGGTGTTGTTGTAGATAGCAGACCGTCATCAACATAAAAGTTATTGTTCACAAAGTTTAACACATCATCACTTGTTGTAGGATCTACACTAGCTGCCTTTCTCAAACCATATGTGGCAATGGCTGGAGATGGTGCATTTCCAAAGACATGTTTGCACATTCTGTATTCCGTAAGTTCCTTACTGGGGTCATTATCACGATGCCACATAAACCTCAAATAATTCCTATGCTCCTCTGCGACAATGAATCCGAAGAACATTTGCTCAATGTCTGCTACTATAGCAACTGCATCTTTCCGGAAACGGAGTAACACACCAACAAGACTATTGGTCAAGTCCGGTCCGCAGAGCAAGACATCATTCAATGACGTGTTCTCAAACTTTGCTGAAGAATCAAATACGACCCTCAGCTTTGATGGTTCCTTTGGGTGGTAGATCCCGAATATTGGCAAATACCAGCATTCCTCAGAGGGCTTCAAGGGTGGGGCTAGTTCCGCATGCCTTTCCAATATCCCTTCCATGTAGGCATGAAAGTGATCTCGCTTGCCAGGATTCCTGTCCAAAGTTTTACTCAAGATCCTAGCACGTCTCAATGCCACTGCTCTGTTATCTGGTAATCTATCTCTAGGAGTTCTAAATGGCAGTGGGGAAACCCAGCTTCCTTCTTCATTCCGTTTACAGTGCGCCTCCATAATCCTTAGGAACTCTCTGTCTTCTATTGATAAACCCGGTTTATCATCATCAGCTGTGCGCTCAAAAAGCGAGGTTCCAAAGTCATTTGGTTTTCTGGAGCCCAGTCCATGACCTTCACTGTATGTGAAACTGCTTGTGCATGGAGGCATAATGGAAGTTCTTCCATCTCCAACTAAATGTGTCTTCTTTACACAGAATTCATCTGGGACATGGACCTTATCCAAACAGGCTTCTCCAATTAGGGCCCAGCCTAATGGAAGCTTCTGGGCATAAGGCGAGCAGCTGCCAACTCTCTGGTCTAAAACATGATGTGCTTCCACCAGATCCCGTCCCAGCAAAAGTAATACAGGCGCCTCATTCAGAGGTGGAATATCGGACGCAATATCTACAAGGTGAGGGTAGTGTTGCGCGATTTCCGGTGTTGCTATCTCATCCCGATTACAAGGGATATTATCACATTCCGTGATGGTAGGCAAATTCAATGTTTGTGTTGAATCCCAAGATTCGATTACAAGCCCATTAACTTGCTGTCCATAAGTGGGTACTCTACCAGAACAGGAAGTTATTGTGTAGCTCCTTGGTTCAGAGTAAATGTTCAACTTATCGAAGAATTCACTGCGGGCTAACGACCTGTTACTCTGATCGTCGACTAATGCATACATGACAACAGCCTTCTCCCGTTCTCCATATCTGTAAACTCTAACAAGCAACATTTTGGCACACGATTTACCAGAAAATTGTTTCCCACAAACTTGTAAACATGAGGCTGAAACTGGAAACATAGAATCTGTTGTTGTACAGTCTACAGCAAGTTTCTCCCCGCCATGCTCCTTGTGCGAATCTCGGACCTTGACATCAATGGGATGAAGTGCACTACAATGTTCTGTACTTCCACATACACTACATTTTATGTTCACTTTACAATCTCTGGCCATGTGTTTTGCACTGCAGCAGCGAAAACAGATTCCTTTTTCTTTCAACATTTTCTTGCGTTCTGGAATCCTCTTAGAATTGAATACACGACAATCCTGAAGCGAATGAGGTGTATGACTGTTTGCATGAATCACACAAACCTGCGAAAGTTCTTTACCAGTCTTTGTCACAAATTCAGTCTTGTTTGTTCTCACTGACACACGCTCTCTGATATTGCTACCACTGTTCGCAACAGATGTCACATGCTCCTTACTTTTTGGTTTAAACTGACCATCATACTGGAAACCTGGGTCGTTGCGTATGCGGCTCATTTCTTGAAGAAACTGAACTAGGAATGTGAAAGGAGGATATGACACATCGTATTTCCTTTTATAGGTTGAAGCATGATTCGTCCATTTTTCTTGCAAGTTGTATGGAAGCTTGTTGATTATAGGTAGAATACCTGATGACGAATCAAAATAGGATAGGAGAGTAGCATATTTCGGGTTTTCCTTGGCTGCCTCAATCTCAGCTAGTATGTCTGCCAGTTCATAAAGCCGCTTACTATCCTTTGTCGTTAATCGCGGAAAATGTTCCAGCTTGGTTTTCAGGGCTGACTCAACGAGTTCCGGTGACCCGTAACGTTCCTCCAGTCTCTCCCATATACGTTTTAAGCCTCTCTCTGGATAAGCAGCATTTGCAGCCCGTATGCTTGAAGCAAACTTACTTGACTCCGGTCCTAGAAACTTTAACAGTAAATCAACTTCCTCAAAGGGCGTAACTTCTAGTTCTTGCGTTATGCTAAGGAAACTTGCTTTCCATGTAGCAAAGACCTCGGGACGATCACTGAATTTGTAAAACCGTGAAAATAGAAGGTCCTTCTTCAACAAGAACTTGGTAAGATCTCCAACAACACTGCTATCATGAGTCTGTTTCACTTCATTAAGTTCAAAGGGAGCTGCATGAGGGTTTAACGAGCTTCTGTGTTCATTATATTCAGGGTTTGTCAAAGGTGGTTCAACGGTTACTGGCAACGCAGCACTTACCACATTTTCCACTGGGCAGCTCTCATAAATATACTTTGCTGTTAGCTGTGTCTTGTCAACTGGTTCTTCCAGCAATGACGATACTGGAGAAACACGCCTACTGTTCATTCCTGTGTTCTCAAGTGCTTTCACTTCTGCTTCAGCTACTGCGAACTTGCGTTCCTGTTCTAATAGGAGAAACTCGGCATCTAACTCCTCCTTCTGTCGAGCCTGTTCTGCTTTGTGCTTGGCTTCCATTTCCTCCAACGACGCCTTTTGCTTTCGTAACTTTAATTCTCTGGCTTCATATTGTAGTCTGGCTCGGTGAGCCTCCACCTCCATCCTCTTCTGTGTCAGAATGCTGCCCATCACCGATGTTTCTCCGACCTCTGACCTTATGTGTAGGCTTGCAGAGCCTCTTTGAGACAGTCTCTCTGTAGCATCAATTCTCGCCTCCCGAATTTTCCGACACAATTCCCTTATAATGTCCTGACATTTGACCTTTAAAAGTTCTTTAATCCTTAACTCCGATAAACTGTCCACAGTGTTTGTACGTGTAAGGTAGGCCACAAAATCTTCGGATTCCTCTCGGTGTTTCACTTGTAATGCCTGTAGTTGTCTATCTAAATGTCTTAAAGATTTAAAGTCAGATTGTGATCTATATTCGTCAACTTTCACTGTTATATCTTCAATGTCAGACCAAACAGCGTCACAATTATTAAGATATTTCCTAACAGTGTCCTCATATAGGGCTTGGCCTTTTTCTGTTTTTGTTTTAATTCTACTTTTGCCCTGAAGTTCATCATGATCCTCTACTTTAATACTGCTTATAGTACTACTGTCTTTATCAGCCATTTTGTGTCAATGTAATACACTTATCTTCGCATTTCAATATTAATTAAATGATGTAATCTATACATACGAAAAATGACCACCCTTCTAAATGAGCATAAACATTTCAGAGAACACACAATAATGTTTCAAATGCTGTACGCATGTACAATTGAAAAAATAAATTTTCTTTCACAGTACACAAGTGTGACATTGACAGTTGACAGAAAAATGATTGTCGTCAAATTCGCAGCAAGATAAAATTCAAATATCTACTCAAGCATTATTTTGCTACATAATTACAGCACAAATTTTCAAAACATGCTTAAGAAAAATGCAATCCTACTTATTGACATATCACATTCCTGTAGCACCAAATTGTTTGACCATATACGTACAATTGAAAATGCATAAAGCCACTGAATATTAACAGTTATACATGACAATAGTTCATGTCCAAGAATATTGTACTATATAATGGAATGTTCTACATGTAACGGAATGTATACAGAATGTTCGACATGTAACGCAATGTCCCACGCAACCGACAGGATTGGATGCCTCTCCAGGTAGGTATGGTCCGCACGCCACTGTCCAAGGGAAGTGGGAATGGTAGGCCCAGCCTCAGGTAGAATGATCCTGATCCGTGTAGAAGCGATTCATTTACTGTGCAGTCTCAGTCCCAGACTGGTGCAACTGCGGATTAATGACCTCGAAACCATGTGTAGTCTTGAAGACTTTATTCTGATAATGGCTTCACAAGAGGTAAATGACTGAAAATAAAATTGAAATAGACAATAAATTTCTAGCTTTCTCTACAAATAATATTCACTCATAATTTCACAAAAATGACCTCATCAATTTTGAATACACTATGAAATACAGGCCTAAATTACTTAGAAGAATTTTGACAATAGATGCAAACACTGTATAAACACAAAGACTTGGCTTAAGATCAATGGTAAACAAGAACAAATAATCAGCCCGAATTTCCTCTATCAAAAATGACAACAGATTTAAACACATGGAAAATATCATTGCAAAATATGAAAAAAGTTGTTTAACACATTAGACATATGCAC